AAGTCCTGGTGCTAAGTCAGTACAATATCTCTAATCTTATATTTCTGAATCAGGTTCTTTTGTTGTTTTTTTTTAGCCTCTCCTTATGTTTTGGCTTTGAAGTGTGAGTGGAGAAACCGCATAAGGTCAACAACTAAAATTAGGGTGTGCTGAAATTCAGGGAACTCAACACAAAATTTAGGAAGGGATAAAACATTGAGAGATCAAAGTCAGAAAAAATACTGTTCAATGATTATTAGGCCATCTCTATGATGCATAAATTAGTTAAAAAATTAAAAATAAAGAGGCTCTTATGGGATTTCTTTTTTCCAAATGATCCTAAAGCTCTACCGCATTTTCATGAGGAGTCAGATGGAAGTAAAAAAAAGTGCTACATAACTTTCTGTTTGGTTTTGTCCATAATAAAAGAAGATTCTTCATGGTACTAATGAGAACTCGTTTGTGATGATTCAAAAACGACATGAGTCTTGGTCTCAGTGATCATTACAAGCAGTATGATAGTCTAATATCAAAATCCTGCTGATACACAATATTCTAACACTTCCTATCAGAAAATGCATACTGCATGTCGAGTCAATTGAAACAATGAAATCTGGCTTACAGAATTATAGTAGGCTATTTTATTTTTATCTCTTTACTAAATGAAATTTCCCTGGCCAATAGAAATTTTCCTTCACCTACCCTCTTTTTTTTTTCTCCAAATCAGTATTACCCAAACGATAGCAGCCATATACTGGGAGAAATAACCACACTTACTGCTCTAATTTATGGGAAGATTTCAGAGCACAGATTGGACTGAACTCTAAATTTTATTATAGTTTACTAATATAGTAAGGAATATAAGTTCATTAGTTGTTTGCTTTTTGTTATGGTTTTGTAACTACACCATAATTGAATAATGCATCCTATTAGCATTATAATTGTAGTAGACCCTATATAAAAAAAATCAAGAAGGAATTATATGCAAAGAAGGAAATGGTGGAGCACAAATTCTTATGTTAATATTACCTGGTATGTTAAAAATGTTCTGCAAAACATGATTTTCAGCAATCTATAATATCTACAATATCCTTTGGCAGACCTACTGAAATATGCAGCAGAGTTTGCATTATTCATTCATTGGGCCCAAGTCTTTGCAATGAGACAGAGAGCATCCTTACATTATTTTCTTGGAAATGTAAATGATATTGCACATGAAAAATATGGATTAGTATAGAAATCTTTCTTGAAACAAGGAGTCACTATAAGGTCATAGGAGTGATCTCTATCTGAAAAAATATTTGTACTGCCATTAGAAAAGGAAAAATATTAGAAAAAAATAGAAAAATATCTAATAGTCAGAAAGGACTCTCAGAAGAACTGAGTAGGAAGTTCTGATGTCCCTTTCTCAAAGTTTAAAGCTCAAGGACAATTAGTCAAATTAATAAACAGACAGTTAGGATCCACAAAAGAACTGGTATCCTTTTCATTGCTACATGAAGATTTCACAGATGTTATCTGAATATCCAAAATTAGCAAGACCCAGCTACTATGCAAGCTGTACACATCAGAGAAATATTCAGAATTGCCATAGTTATTAATCATAAATGTTTTTCAAAGATGAAGCACTAAACTAAGAGTTAATGGTTAGAGTCTAGGATAATACCTAATGTGTTCAGAAAATTAATGTTTATCAGTCTCCTATGTAGTTCTTACCTCAACTTTGGGAGCATTTTTGGGCAAGATTGTTATATGTTATCAATCTCAGTAAGTTATAATATATGAATAACATTCTGTTGGCATATTTAGCTGTCAGAACTACCTGAAATTGTTTTAATATTAGACATTAATTGGAATGGAAAACTAAAAGGTTTTACAAGAAAGCGATGAGTTTCAAGAACTCTAAGTGGAAAAGGTTGAAACACCTCATTAACAGTGTCACAGGAACTTCATTTGGAGTTAAGCTGTATGTTAGATTTAATACATTTATTAATTTAAAATATTAAACATTCAATTCATAATCTGAGTAGATGAATTCTGTATTAGTGCTACTCAGAGAATGATGGTTTGATTTAATGACAACTTTTATTGCTTAGATTTTTTTTCCTGCCATCATGCATTAGGATGCAGAGAAAAAGAGGAAAGGAATAAACTGACCTCTTGAATATTTCACATATTCATATAGAGCATAGTTATCTGAAAACATTATGTCTCTTTTGACCTTTATCTTTCTTCTTCATTTTCCCCTTCCTCTTTCTCTCCTGATATTCTGGCCCACAAACACCAGACTTTGAATATGTCTTCAAAAGTAATAAAATTTCAAGACATTTTCTGCTTTGAATAAATGTGTTATTTCATTGAAAATAATCAATCCAGCTGATGTGTATAGGAAATTTAACAGCCTAGCATAAAAAAAAAATAATATTACAATAAAAATCTAGAGAAAAATCTTAAATGCTTCCTGGAAATAAACACATAATGAAATTCAATCTAGCACAAAAGACTAGAGATAGATTAACTTAATTAGGAACTTTTAAAACACACCATTATATCAGACACAGAAACTCAGACCAGAAAACTGCTCTACCATCTCTATTTCTGAGGACTTCGATCCTTTGTAACACCACAACATTTGACTACTAAATCTGTGCTTAGAAAGTCTAAGGAGGCAGTAAGATGGCACAGGTTTGCAGGGACCTTCTCAGTGATAAGAGGCAAGCGTAAGAATATTAAAGTTCTGAAACAAATCTGAAAGATGAATTAAAATCAGGGTAAAAAAATGTATCGCTGAAACCAATTGCACTATTACACATGGATCTACTAAAAGGCTTTCCTTACTAATTACAGAAGCAGAAATGAAATAAGAAAGAATCACTGTTGGCTATGAAATAATCTTACTGCAACAGCAGCAGATCCTCTGACAGACTGCTGAAGACCAGAGTGTCAGACCTCTAGTGTGAGGAATCTGTTGCCTTCCTCATGATTTTGGAGATAAAAGCGCAGCTTGTGGCAAAACAATCTCACTAGTATAAATATATAATGAATCCACTTCACGCAGGACCCCTCTGAGACCAATAAAGCTGAAGACTGAGCACCGATTTCACTTTCTTTGCATTTCTTTTGCAAGACAGCTAAGTTAATTCTGGTTAGTTGAAATCAGAAATAGTACCATCCTGTTTCAAGTGGGCAAGAAATGTTTCTATCTCAGGTTATTTCACTTGACCTCATGTGGAAGGTGGTTATCAAAATGAAACTGAAGAAAAATACATTTATTACATTTCCTAGTGAGCTAAGATTTTAGTTAAGCAGTCAGGAAAAAAATCTAACAGTTTCACTTGAATCATTTTCAAATGCAAGACCTTTTTCTGGGCAAGTGGTATAAACTGCAGGAATCTTATGCGATACGTGCATGGTGAATAACAAAAATCCAAATGTAAACTGCACAAATGCTAAAAGAAAGTGCATCCCCTCCAAGATCACTAGAGACTCCTATTAGCAGGTCATTCCTACCAATGCTATTTTTCTTTAGTGCTGTATACAGTTTTGCACAGCCCTGTATTCACACACATATGTGCATTCAAAATACATGCTTTTCCTTCACCTCTGGGACAAGATTATTCTATGCTAGAATAGATATCCATCTTTAGACATTCTTTCTGATGGAAAAAAAAAGATTGGTTTTGCTCAACTTCATTTCTTTGCTGCCTGTTGTAGCTCTAAACCACTCTCGTACCTCCCTGGAGTACATACTTCAAAGACATATATATATATATTTACCTTGCCATACCTTTATCTCACTTTTTTGCCTCTATATTTTTGCCTTTTTTTCCCCCCCCTCTTTCCTCTAAACTATTATTGCTTATATGTATCTCTAGACATGCCTCTCAGCTTCTTTCAAGCAGCAACTTGATAAAAGTAGGACTGTCTAAATCCATCTGTGTAAATTACTTGGGTGAAAAATGCAGTGCCAGGTTGACTGACACAGTTGGCAGATAGAAACAGAATTCAGCAAATAATTGCAGCCATAATTTTGAGAGGAAGAAGAATGAATGTGCTCATGAAAGCTAGAAAAAGTCATTTCAATATTTTCCAAATAATAATAAAACGAAAAACTACACACTATATTTCAAATATTTCATTTATCAATGCAGCCTACTGAAACAGAAAAAAAAAAAAAATTAACCACAATTACAAACTAACCATATAGTAAACAACCAAAAATTAGATAAACAAAATGTTTCAGCAATCCAGCATTTTTTTTCTTGTATTCTTTGGCTTCCACATGAGAAACCATTGGGTTTTCTCAGGTTCCTACCAGAACAATTACTCTTTTCCTCTATCTGCTTGCTCAACTAATCACATATTCTACTCAGATCTATGTCTGCTACCACACCGAGGTAACCCCTCCATTGTCCCAGGACTTCCTTAGGATGTGAAGTTGTATTGCTCTGTTGGGTTTCCAATATAGAATGGCTGGATTTTTATTTTGAATTTTTTTATTTTTGCCTAATACATCCATCTTCATCTGAGTTTTTATTTTTTAATGTTTTTTTTCTGCTTTTGTTGATCAATTTTATTTTCCTCAGCATTATTATAGTTTCCTGGTATTTCTGAATGCACTGCTTGTTTGTGTCACTGAGAGTTTCAACCCTGTTCAGTTAAGGACTAAATTCATATTTTAATACCACGTGTACAGAAAGCAACACAACTCTTGCTGATCTCAGGGTTCAAAGAACAAAACAACTACAGGGAAAACAACAACAAAAAAAAAACCAGCCTCACATAAAAGAATTAGGAAATAAGGTGAACAAACCAATGCAAAAAAAAAAAAAAAAAAAAAAAAGACATTCTTAATTACTCAGTATTAGTACTTCATATACTCTATAAATGCAGCTACTAAGAAAAATGTAAAATGAACTTAAAATTCTACCATTACAGTGTAAGAAAAGGTAAATAATAACACACAGGTTTGGGGCACAAGAGAGTGATACTTCAGTTGATACACAGTATTTCAATCCTACCTTCCCAGTCGACTTTGTTCCTTTCCAGATGCAAAAATAGCAGATAGTCCAAGCAGCGAGGAGGCACAGTGCAAGTTCCCAGCGAAGATTCCCAATATGTTCAATGCCATCAGATATGGCTAGCACCCTGCGTCTACCAAGGGGGAAAAAATGAGAAAAATTAAACAATACTGAAACAAAATAGTACTGCACACAAAACACTGATCTAAAAATCAAACCATATTCAACCAGGAAGACTTCTGGTTACTGACTAGAAAGAATGGACCATGTCAGGCATAAAGATACAAAAGGGGAAAAAAGGGGATATTGGCAGTGAGTTTAAAAGCAGGTTAAAAATAAACAAGCGTGTGACTCTCACAGGTCAGTGAAAAAAAATCAAAAAGATTTTTAAATAGATTCAGCATGGAAGGTTTTGTACAAAAGAAAAGTCAAAGAAAGAAAAACAAAACTTCTTCCTCTCTGAATCATCAGCAGAAGATGCAGACCCAAAACAAAACACTCCAATAATGTTTTTTGCTCTGTTTTGTTGTTGTTGTTTCAGTTTTATTGTTCTTCCAAAAAGAAATATTTGAGTTGAAACCTTTATTTTTGCCTTGTAAAACCTATTTTTATAAATGCCCTTTTGTAAATTGAACTATGATTTTACAACTTTTACATTTAAAGTCAACCTTCTTTCAGGTGGATCGTATTTTGGAAACAGGAGGAAAGTTTCAATGTTTTTTTAAATTGCCTTTTCTGGGGGAAAAGCAATCAATAAAAATATATACTGCATTTACTATTTCAAAACAGCATATTTAAAATACTAGAGAAGGCCACTCAGATCTAAAAACTTAACTTCCCATTTTAGGAACATTCCTCACATCCCCGTAGCCAAAGGATTTACTAAATTAGTAAACAACACAGAGAGGGTTTTTTTTTTGTTGTTTTCATAAAACAAGAGTGAGCAGATATAAAAGTCACTTGCTAGTATTCAGACAGGAAACCTGTGGGACCAAACTTCAGAATTAATCGCTTATCTGGGAGATTCACATTCCTTTCATGCTCTTTGATTTTTGCTTTAGATAAGCACACAGTTCAAGAAAAAAGTAAATTCTTTACCAGCCTGTAAATAAAACACAGGTAGTTCGGATTTTGTTGGATAAAGAGTTAAAAGTAAAAGTACAAACTTACTCCTATAAACTTCATTGATTTTCATGAACTCCCTTGAATTTTTTCAATTGCTCTTTAACCTAAAAGAAACCCTAATCAACTTAAATGAAGCAATTAGTCATTTGCTAATTTTACACTCTGAATAATTAATATCAGCCATTCAGGCCTTTTGTGGCCTTTAATCACATCTCAGCTGGGTCTGGTCACAGCTCGTTTTATCTGTGTTTCCATAACTATACTGGCAGTGTTATATGCTGTGTATACATAGACAAATTCATACATAAATTTCCAGCATGCAGCCTTACACAAATTGTAGTGATCCAAAATGCCCTTGAAATTTTTGTTAGGTGTCGCTTGCACAACCCCTAAATATAAGCAACTCCTTTTCCCAGGCAGCAGGGCAGACAATTGAGGCTTTTGACTCACAATCCATACCTTGTGGCTACACAGCTTTCAGAAAGGAGGTGACCACAACAAGCCAATGGGCAGAGTCAATTTTATATGCACACACGCTGCCTATCTATTTTCTCTTGCAAAATTTCTTCATAAGGCAGCACAATTAAGATTCTGCCAGCACCCTTCTATCTGTTGGTGTCATTTCTTCTATCCTCTCTTAAATAAAAAGGGGGTTGCATCACATCATCTTACACGCTCTCTTTTACAAGGTCTTGAGAAACACTTTCCATGCATCAGCAGCGACTGCTCACCACGAAGACTCTTGCATTCCCTAATTACAGACAGAAAACATGCTAGGTGTTGCAGACAGCTGGAGAAGAATCTGATCTGATTCTACTCTTGGAGATTTGTACACATCCATATGGACAATTAACTGCATCACACCAGTCACTAATTCCATTGAGTACCATCTATGCAGTCGCACTGAAACATTCCATTCTCACGTCCTGCCTCCAGCTCTGCAAAGGGCTACAAGCACTACTCAACTTCCAGACCCATGAATGTCTCAAGAGAGAAATGTGCAAAATAGCAATTATAATGAAAGTATATAGATGATACACTGACATAGTCAGGGCTCAAAGTTTGCAGAATAGTATTAGACATGCCATAATCCACATCCAGTTTTCAAAGGCAACTTTGTCTTAAGAACACAATTCTCAGTGAAGACTTGAGAAACTTTGAAAGCAACTAGTTTCTGGAAGCTGTCCACAGAATGCCCACGCTCAGTCTTTGAATGCTCTATGAGAAGTGTCAAATAGCAGGGACGCATACCTTTCCCATCCAGAAACCTTGGTGGGATGCTTTTGTAAATGGCAGATTAATGACCTCCAAACAATTAGCCCTGTTTCTCACACTTAAAAAAGACACATCGTGCCAAACAATTTCAACTGCTAGCACTGTAGTGAGTATTTTTAAATATATTAAAGCACTACAAATTATTTCATGGTTTAAGAAAATGAAGGTTTAAAGTTTCCCATAGAAAGCGAGCAGCAACAGGTCTGAAACATCTAATTAAACTATAACATATTGTGCCACATACATCCAAGAGAAAGCCTTGCTCAGAGGCAATAAGTGATTTCCTGAGCAGGCATCATGCAGCCCTGCACCATGTCAGGACCTTATCTCTCCTTCTGAAACTGGCTGAAACAGCAGCGGTAGAGGTTAGGCATTGAAAGGAGAAGGCATTCAGAACATGAAATTCTGTTCACGAAGCCTCATCTCAGTCTGACTGTGCACACCCTCATATACGTCCTTTCATTATTCAACACAAATTAACCAGAAAGGGGGGAGCATTTTAAAAAATACATGACTCTATCCTGCAACTAAGTGAGGCTGATGTATTCAGGGACTGGAAGACAACAGCTGATTGCAGCTTCTCACTCCTCAGCAGTCCAACTTCTATCTAAAAGCTGCTGTGACCTTGAATAGATTACCTAGACAGCAGAAAGAAGTAGCATCTTCACTTAATACTGCAAGACCTCCTGTATTATTTTATCCTCCTCATCTCATCTTTTCATGGGAAGAAAGATAGAGAAAGAGCAAGAATAGTAAAACAATGTAGAAAGTAATATTGTTTATTTTAGAGTAACAACCATTTGAAAATGTTCTATATTAAGATGCCCAGGAACAGTCACATCTGTGAAGGTTGTTCCAGTGCTTCATCACTTCTGATAGTTCATATTAAAGCAGAACAGAATGGAAGAGTAATATACGTGCACAGAATAATTTATGCAGATTGAGATGAGAAGAGGTTGCGAGTGCCTTGTGGTCCTTCTGAGCGAAGTGATTCTTGAACAGAGGACCCAAGGAATCCTAAGAAGCCCTAAGAAACTCTTGGTATAAACTATTATGTGGTCTTGTGAAAGGAGACAGTGAGATCCTTACATGAGCTGCAAACTGATCAAGTTTTCATAAGCTAATTTATCAGGTGATACTACAAGTAAAAATGAAAAGCAATGAATTTCTTAGCCAGAAGTGCTCTGTTTAGATAACTATACCAGCTGGACAGCCTCAGGGAAGACACTGGTGACAACTGACTGATTTGTTCAACTCAGTTATTGGGAATCAGAAAACTAGGGAACGCTTTCCAAAGACCTCTGCATGATAAAAAATTGTAATTGTCAAGTCTGGCATCCCAGGTGGTATCAAGATGCAAGTGGCCATGCAGCTCAGCAGAGGTGCAGGTAAACACCAGTCATACTGCAAAACAAACAATTGTTAGTAATTGCCTCTTAGAATTTGCTTGAATTTTTCTTTCCAAGAAGAATAATGCATGTCCATCCATAACAGCAGTAGTCAAAAAAATCCAGAAGCATTGTGAGGACTTCATTTTCATATTTTCTTTTAAACACAGCAGTTCAATTTCATGACCAGCCAATAAAGGGGAAAGAAGCCAGAAGATTGGTGGCATTTGAACATCTAGAAAAGAATGTTGAAGGAAGATGCCCATCTGGATTAGGGTTAATTTGGAATTTAAAGATTAAGCCAGACCAGAGTTTTTCTATCAGTAGTAGCAAAATATTAACTCTACACAGGATATTTTACTTGTAAATGGAAAATCAAGATCTCTTCTTTGAATTTAAACCAGAGCAGATTTGCAACATGCTTAACATTCAAAAACACACAGAAGCTTTTCACTACCTCTTGCTACATACATATAGCTTGACTACTACTGAAGAATAATTTCTATCTTTTCTCCATAGAAATAACACAAATTAAAAGTTAATAGCCTCAAATGAAGAAAACACAAATGTAAGTGGAATAACAGGATATATCTGAAGTGCAGCACACTTTGCTTGCTTCCTTTGAGCTTCCAGAAATGCTGATGCTTAATCACAAAGACATTTATATCCAGACTGAACAAAATCATGGCATTATTACTTAGAGGGCAATTTCATTCTGGTTACAGTTTATTGGATCAAATATTGTAAGCCAAATGCTGGCAGTTCATTTTGAATCAAAAAAGTAGCGTGTATAAGATAAAGGAACAAGTAGAGATTGAGAGAGAGTATAGAGTCAGAAATCTCAGCATGTTTTCAGTAGACCTCAGCAAGTAACCAGGCATCATTTGATGACCTCTTGCTACCTACATTTGAAAAACACACTGCTGCTAATGGTTACCTTGCTTCTTTCAATCAACATCATTTCATATATTTCCCCTAAAAAATATGGAAAGGAAATCGAGTGAAAAAGTATTACCTACTTACTGAAATTGCTTTTGTTTGTGAATTTCCTAAAATATGTTTTAATTTAGTGGTTCAGTAGACCAGGTGGAAAGAAGGGCCCCTACATTTCTGAAACTGCTGCAGATGGGCATACTACAGAGTAACTGATTATTCTGACTACTCATAGCTAAAAATAACCTTTTCATCCACACTGAAAACAGTTTGAAAGCTGCTGCTTCTACAAGTGCACTCTCTTGGGACACAGGAACCACAGCACTACATTTCCCATGGACTGGGAGAACACTTTTCCAGAGAAAGAGCATCTTTATTAAAGCATTCCAATGTGCAGAGCTGTAGCACGCTC